TATCCCAATCTTTCAAGAGGAAACATTTTAATACAAGCATTATAACATTATAACATTATAACATTATAACATTAAAACATTATAACATTACAACAGCAAGACACGGGTTTCTAAACACATTCTTTGAATCACTCAGTTAGTTAACGTTATTATTCATATGGGAACTTAATAATTCTATTGATTCCATTAAAGCCATTTTACATTATGGAATTAGTGATTGAACTAGTTGTAAACCAGTATAAATAATTGGCAGATGACCCGGATCAAGATAAAACGTGGAGTTCGTGTGACAGCTGCACTTGCTTTTGATTGTGAACTAATTATTGGTTGAGAATAAAAAAGTGACTACGGTAATATGGTCCGTAGTTGTCTTTCGTCGGCCTTTAATTATAACAAAATGAAATATTAGGTAAGCATCAAAAGCAAGATTTAGGAGAAAACACTAAGTAAGACTTTGATATACGGAGCAGCATTATCAAATTTCTGCTCTTTTAATTCTCAAACAATTCCAATAACAGAAACATAAGTAATTTTTCCTAAATTTTCAGCTCATTTTGCAACAAACTCATTTTAGCGAGCTGAAGTTTGTGATCGTAAATAACGTGCACATGATAGCTTTTTATATTTATTACTCGCATACACATGTTTATAAATACCACAGAGGGCCACAACAACGAAAGCTATATTTACCTCGCCACCAGAAGAAAATAAAACCATTATTCCAAACTCAGAAACATGGCCCAACATGGCTCCTTCATGTGACATTAACACGATGGTGTGTGACAGTAAGTGTGACAGTAAGTGAACAAGAAGGCCGGATATATTCGTGAGGGAAAGTGCAGTATAATATAAACTATAATATAGATAATATGTATATTAATGCGGCGCTAACAGTTGCAATTAGGGGTAAGGCAGGTCTTGTTGCAGATACCTGTGTATTGTTACCTGACTGCTGGGGAGAGGTGCCGGACCTGCTTACAGTCTGATAAATGAGGGTACAATATAATATATATTATAACATATTATAACACATTATAACATATTATAATATATCATTATACTGTTCTGTATACATAATATATTGAAGTGTATTACTACGAGCACTGAGCTTCTTTGGAATTCAGGGCAGAACAAAAATAGGGAAGCCGGGATGTGTGTACGGATGTCACTCATCACTAACTAAATTACTGTAAACATTGCAATGTGACATTCCTTTCTTAACGTTTAAACGATAGTAAGCTGTGTGTTGTTTTACTGGCGGACCTCTCGTGAGCAAATAATAAAGGAAAGATAGATAGTGGTCGGTGGGGAGCATCTTCATGGATAGTGCTGAACAACATAGGGTGTCTCTTGAAATAGAAGTGGAAACTAGTACAGAAAACATTGAAATGTAGATATGATTTGAGTTTAATGCAGCTACCGTTCCGTAGTGCACGTGACACTAAGGGAACACGTAAATACATCAAGTCGTGCTGTGGGCACATTGACCGAGTGGTCCTTTAAATTCCAAACGACTTGTTAGGCAACTACACAATATGCGACCACTTGTACCATCTTGCCCATCAAAATACATGACAAAATATTTAAGAATGTGGCTGTAAATTTGGTCACCTCAAATTATTAAGCAGTAGATATTTCTTCAAATTAATGATCAATAGCTTTTACATTAAATCCGTATTATCAAAGGTGGAAATCCAAAAGTAAAAGTGAGAGCAATCTATTCACGTGTCCTACCTATTCCTTTTCATAAATTTAACGCTACCGTTGGATGTGTGATAATAAGCCTCATTATAAAAAGTTGTAAGTTATATAAGCAAGACATTTTTAGGTGAGTGTCGCATATCATTACACAGTTTCCCTTTACTTAAGGTACTTATTTATAGCGAACACTATAAGACTTGATAAGAAAGATCCACCATGCCTCAAGTTGGTCAGATGATCCCACAAATGAAGCATTACTGGGCTACCAGGGAACTAAAGTCAATTAATATAACACATTTATAAGATTCCCCGAACAAAGAAACGTACTATTATATATATATATATAATACATATTTATATATTTTTGATATAGAGCTACTTGCCACTTAGGTGATAGGTCCAGGATCATTATAATACATAGGACTTCTAGGCAAGGTGCTTAGACACGTACTATTATATTTACTATATTGTTATATTTTCATCGCTCCGCCCGGCACCAGCTCACAGACCTAAAATGACGATACTTTATTACACTATTATATATTATATACACTAGTTCTATGAGGACACATGCCTAAGTTTGTGAAAAGCAACGCTTTACAAAGAGGACAGTTGTTAGGGTCCACACAGTACAGAAGTCATAAGTGACTAAAAGCTAGCTCTAGCAACGCTGCACAACGACACTAAATACATTGTCATTACTTTCTGTGCAAGTTATATTGGTGATTAGTTCAACAACATTCGTCAGATTTTGCATTGCAGCCATATTTCGCTTACATTACTATTATGTGGTTATGGCAAAATGCATAAACTAATTTCCCACTTTCCCAATAGAGAATTCTACAGAACAGACCACCTATGTTTTCGGCTTTTACAACTTTGCCGAATATTAAGGGAGGCCATGAATGTTGTGGCCGCATACCACATTAGATGTCAATGCAGTGTGTTCTAGTTATTGCTTTTGAACCTCATAAACTATAATTATCAATGCTTACTAAAGTATGGCTTCAATTTAATCAATCACAGTACTAAAACCACACAACTCCTCCACCCTTCTAGAAAGAGGCTGGCCAGACCTAAATACAATCACGTCAAATACTCTTACGTCATATAAAACATTAGTGAAGTGGCAACCAGAGAGAGAGAGAGAGAGAGAGAGAGAGAGAGAGAGAGAGAGAGAGAGAGAGAGAGAGAGAGAGAGAGAGAGAGAGAGAGAGAGAAAGATAGAGAGAGAGAGAGAGAGAGAGAGAGAGAGAGAGAGAGAGAGAGAGAGAGAGAGAGAGAGAGAGAAAGAGAGAGAGAGAGAGAGAGAGAGAGAGAGAGAGAGAGAGGGGGAGCTCCGTCACAGAGCAGAGAACATGACGTCACACACAGCAACCTGGCCCTTCCATCTCCACAATAAATGGTGTTATCTGATCTGTATAATTGGGGTGATGCCATTATTACAACGGAACACCAACACCCGGCCCTGTAGTTCATTAGCATAGTGTATCTCAACTAGCTGTTATACTGCTCACTCAGCCTCGCCATCTACTTTGGGGCTTTTGAGACGCGGAAAAAGTGGATTATTGCAGTTTAATGGTGAAAAGAGGTTGTGTATTACTTAGGAAAATTCCTCAAGAAATCGTGCTAAATTTTGCAACAATTTAAAAAACCTGCAATTAGGCTTGATTGTTGAGAGTAATTTAATATTATTTAACGATACTAAGTTTTATGGTAAAGAAGTGCTGGTAATTGTGATATGTTAAAGCCGCCCTGTAACACACAAATGACATTTGTCATTCATGGTGATATGTGCTCTAAATGCTGTATACTTCATTTTAACTCTGGTTTGGGGTCATGGACGCTTAGCTACGGGCTAGCGTCATAACTAACTCCCTCTTCCTAATTGATATAAACTTACTTAGACTAGCACAATATTAATTGTAATACCGATCTACATTATGGGTGAAATTCAGGAATCTATAAATTTTAATAAATTGTTCATGTACAATTATTTGAACTGATGTAAGGTTTTGAAACCTTACAAAAACTTTATAATCATTGACAGCAACCCCCTAATGATCGTAGCCTATAAATCTTAACAACTTGTACGGGTTCCCATTTACTTCAACAACAATTACTATCAAGGAGATGCACTTTTCCACATCAATAATTTGATTATTAAAATCATGAAATTCCCGCAGATTCTCAAAATTCTGACACGTATCAAAGCAATGGCTGTTGAAGAGAAACGTGCAATGTTATTAAACTCCCTCCAATGAGAGAGCAGTGGTAGGTCACGTGAGTGCCAGTAACACCACACAGTCACATGGCTCCGTGTTAATATATATGCACTGTGTGTGTAGTGTGTAGGTCAAACTAGCAAGTCTGCTAATATAACACATTGCAACCAGTCAAATTTACTGTCTAGTATCGAATGCGCAGCAATTGCATAAATTGAATTATTTCAATATTTGAAAGGAAGGAAACAATTATAAATAGTAGATGCTCTGAAGTTAAGTGACATTTTACTGCTCTGAGTTCTGAATATATTGTGTATCAATAAAACCGTAATTTTCTACTCAACACAGTATACAGTAGCAAACAAGTCTGTCAGAACGAAAAGTTATGCCTTTTATATTTAATTGGAAATGCTGTACTGTCATTTTAAAAGCACTAAACTTTTTTAAATATACCAAGTTTGGGTGCTGGGAACCTTCAATGTTTTTCAAACTCTGTGTGGACACTGGACACCTAATAATAATAAATTGAAGTTTAATAACACCACTTTTAAGATAAAACTTATACTCAGCAGTGTTTAATCTAAACATCCCAGAAAAGTACTTGAATAAGATAAGGACTGGTAACGTATGCTTGAAAATATATTGCTAAGTCTTATGACGGAAAATGATACTAATATGTAAAAATCTAACACCAATATTGACCAAAATAAATTACCTTATATAAATTATTCCAAGTATTTTAAATGTAAACAATCAAAGGTATAAAATTCAAGGAATATTTTTGGGAGTTGTAAAGTGATGCAGTAGTGCCCTAAAAAGGCACAGCACGAAAAGTTAAATTTTAAGAGGATATCCTATCAAAGGTGGTTAAAAAGGCTATCTGATGGGTTCAGAAGCAAAACTTACTGTTTTATTAGATTTGTTCGAAATGAGACTGTTAAAAAACATAAAGCACTGATGGCGAAAGAGTATTATAGTATAAAAGAGGCTGAATTGCAATTTATTCATAACTAATATTTATGTTTGAAAAAGATGAGACCTTATAATATGTACATGATCAGTAAAAATCCCAACCTGGAGCAGATACTAGTATTTGGAGAATCTTCTTCTGGGGGATGTATCTTCCGAAGAAATTCGAGAATTTTCCAGAAGAAATCCATCAAAGAATTTACTGTATGACCTCCTTGTCTGAAGAGTGATGTTTCAACTTTAAATGCATTGTTATTTCAAATATTTATCTGGTAAAATGAAATAGCAACTTTTCTTGTTCTTTTTTTATAATTTCTCAATCCTAATAAGTTACCTAGTTAAATAGGAACCCACTACCCATTGGCTCAATTCCCCCTCCAAAATAACTCACATAAACACAATATTGAGTCTTAAACTTTTCATAACCTGGTAATGAGTCAGGTGCATGTCTGAACACATAACCTACCAATAATAATAATAATAATAAATTAATGTTATTTTGATACAGCACCAAAAGGTTAAATAATTTAAATTTAACCCTTATGCTCAGCTGTAAATGATACCTAAATGACAGTAGAGATCGTGCATCTCGCCTTGGACTGGAATTAAAAACGGAAGTTTATAGCTACAAGTTAAATCCTGACTAAATAAGGCAGAAACACCTTTAACAAGAAGATATCCAAGAAAGGTTAGCAGGTTTTCTAACAATGCAATGTAATGATACTTAATTGGTATTTCTCAGATTTTAAGACACATGATTTGTTATGTATCCAAATCCAGGATACATAACATGAAAACTTTGTTGTAACTTTGTATGAAATTAAAAAGCATTAATATGGAGGATGTTTTTCTACATGCCTTGGTTGCACATGCAATGAATGTTAAAATTACACTTTATATAACTGCAACACATAATGGTTGAAATAATAACTAACAGTGAGGTGAAAAATAATTACTTATTTACAAAAGAAACAACTATAAGGCTGAATACTGAATAGGTTTAATAAATCTAAATCTGTACAATAGAAGAGTTTCTCAGATCTATTTTTATCAAAATCAAGGAGTGGAGATTTTCAATTGGTGTTAACTGTATATAAATCACGATCAAACCTTTAAAATAATCTTTTCTTAAGTGAGCAAACAATTACAACTATTTTAAGACAGGTACACCAAATATAAATCAAACAAAAAATACACTGTTCTTTAGTCAAATTCATTATAAAGAATTGTGAAACCCATTAAACGATGAAAATACTGCTCCAATTTTATTGATCATACGTCTGAACATATGGTGGACAGATTAGAGTTCGATGATGATTGACAGAAAATTACTTGAAAATCAGCACCCTTGAAATTCAAAATCACAAGAACCAACAACAACAACAACGAAAAGATATCTGTATGAGGACCTTTTAAGACTAGGTTTACAAAAAAAACCAAAGAAGGAAACTTAAATGGCAAATAACATATTAACTTCACAATTGAATAAGCTGTTAAAAATTCGTTAAAGGACTACAATGTATAGCCATCTAAGTGGAGGGAAAGCTTATATTATATTAAGCATCTTTAAAGGGTGTAATATAATTTAGAACAACAAAGTATAGGTTTTGGCATGTTAAAGCAGCCATACTTCATATTCACAATTAATATAGATATGAGAAGAGAATTCGACATTATTAAGAGAAAAACTATTATCAACATACTACATTATGCTGGTCATGGTAAAGATAATGTTTGACTAGTTCAGTACTTGCTGTCTAACACCTTCCTCGAGGTCAGAGTTAAGTTATCATTGATCAAAGAGTTTTAGAGTATGTATCAGAGCCACCTATATCTGACATGGGACTAACTGAGTGGGAGTATTCAAATGACTATGACTTGGCTGATGAAGATATTGAGGCGTTCTCTGATTGGAATCTTCAAGTGAACGCTGGTAAAACTGAGTTCAACACTATATGCCTAGCCAAGAAATCCTATAAATACAGCAAAGGTCGACCTGTTTGTAATAATGATCCCTCTTATGTACTGAGAAAGATATGGAAAGGCACATCATTCTTGCAAATCTAGCTTTCAAAAAGTTTGAGAAAAACTGGGTCACTGGCAAGATCATTTTTAGAAAGAAAGTTGAAACTGTTATTTATGTAACTCTTATCTAATGATGCCCAAGTTGTATACTAATGTACAATTTAAACCTTTATTGCAAAGATAGACACTTTATACAGACTTCATTTAAGAACAATTTGAATCATAAGGTGGTATGGCCAAAAGGTACCATCGGAAACATTACTTTTATATGTAACAGATTTAAAATCGAACAATACAAGTTTTTCTTTGACGGATGTTACTCGTCTAAATTTCTTCGAAGTAGCACGCGCCGCTTTCTTCTCGATGGCAAGTGCTACGAAGTAGCGCGCGCCGGGCCAGATCATTAACAATGGTTAAGTTTTTCTGTTCTCATTTCTGAACGAATCGAATGTAAAATATTTGGGCACATTTTATTAAGGACTGTACCAAGGAAAACTTTGTATCACATCGTGATCCTCACGGTTGTTTCACTATATAACCCCTGTAGAGTTTCAACGATACAGGGGGAGCCGCGCACTTCGTGCGCGGCGGGTCATACAACGTATGACAATGCGCAGCGGGTCATACAACGTATGACAATATATAACCCGGCGCGTGCTACTTCGTAGTACTTGTCTCCAGCCTCTGGCTATAACTAATGTATTCATTTGTAGCGCGATGCGTTACTGTGCCGCGCCGCGCACTCAATGAGGCTTCTCACAGCGACACCTCTCTAGATCGGCGAAATGCGTTACTGTGCCGCGCCGAGCTGAGATGAATTGATTGCTTTAACCAGAGCCATTTCGCTTGCAGTAGCGCGCGACCGCCGAAAGAAGCGCGTCACGCAGTACGCGTAGACACATGTGACATGGCTATGTGAAGTATATAACTTATCAAAAGGTGGCGATTATAGATTCGATTTGGACCGTTCTGTGGATATGCTTATTATACGCTTTTGGTATTTTAAAGTACAGATTTGTGCACTTTTGATTGACGATGTAAATCCTTCGCATCTCGCCGATCTGTGGTTGCGAGAAGCATTATTGGATGCGCGCGCGGCCCAGTAGTGCATCGCGCTACAATGTGCACTTTAATTTTTATTTAAACACTTTATTTAAACACTTACCATAAAATCAAAATTAGCATTTACAAATGTACACAAAACGGTCCAAATCTAATCGCCACCCTATCAGTATCAAGACGCGCGCCGAGTTGGATTTGTATATATATTCTTAACGGTTTCAATGTTTCATGTATTTGGTATAATATTTGCATTGTCAGACATTGCATTGTTTATCAAAAACGTTGTATATTTTAGCTTTTCAATGGATAAAATGCTTTTGCTATAATATTACCTTGGCTTGTACATTTGAGGACTTTTGATGTTTGACTTTGCCGCTTTTGTTCCGAATATTAAGAGACCGTCGCCGAGTCCACTAGCTCGGCGAACGTTTTTATCTTGGTAAGTTATTATTATTAACCTACAAAGGTGGGCTCTTACTAAATCGTTCGCCCAAAAATTTTACGTGACTTTGGTTTTTTTGGTTACATAAACCCTAACCCTAACCATAACCCCGAAGCTATCCATAATCTTAACCTCAACCCTAACCCTAACCCGAGCCCTAAATAATCGAATTCACGTTTTACTAGCCTGTAACGTGACCAAAACGGTTTTTTGCCCATAACTCTCCAGGGAAGCATTTTAACCCTACGTCATGGGGGGTGATTCGGAATCAGCGTCCAAAAATACACCGATCTAGATCACTTTCATGCCTAAAGGGCCTTTTCACAAGAATTTTCTTAAAATTTGGGCGAGCGATTTAGTAGGAGCGACAAAGGTGGCGTACTTCATCCTGTTTGCCGTAAGTCCACCATCGGCCATATTTTTTAGTTGTATCTTGAATGTGTTTATAAACACAAAAGCACGCCCTCGGCCAACGGCCTCTTTCCCTCTTTCCCTCTTTCCCTCTTTCCCTCTTTCCCTCTTTCCCTCTTTCCCTCTTTCCCTCTTTCCCTCTTTCCCTATTTCCCTATTTCCCTCTTTCCCTATTTCCCTCTTTCCCTCTTTCCCTCTTTCCCTCTTTCCCTCTTTCCCTCTTTCCCTATTTCCCTCTTTCCCTCTTTCCCTCTTTCCCTCTTTCCCTCTTTCCCTCTTTCCCTCTTTCCCTCTTTCCCTCTTTCCCTCTTTCCCTCTTTCCCTCTTTCCCTCTTTCCCTCTTTCCCTCTTTCCCTCTTTCCCTCTTTCCCTCTTTCCCTCTTTCCCTCTTTCCCTCTTTCCCTCTTTCCCTCTTTCCCTTTTTCCCTCTTTCCCTCTTTCCCTCTTTCCCTCTTTCCCTCTTTCCCTATTTCCCTCTTTCCCTCTTTCCCTCTTTCCCTCTTTCCCTCTTTCCCTATTTCCCTCTTTCCCTCTTTCCCTCTTTCCCTCTTTCCCTCTTTCCCTCTTTCCCTCTTTCCCTCTTTCCCTCTTTCCCTCTTTCCCTCTTTCCCTCTTTCCCTCTTTCCCTCTTTCCCTATTTCCATCAGCTGACTTGACTACCTCTCCCTTGACTTTTGTTTCTTTCATTCAGTATCCTTGACTATTCTCCTTTGGTTCATCTCCTTTTTTTTATAAGTACATTATTTGTTTATAAATACATTATAGAACCCGTCGGAAAATTATCCAACTCAATTCTGGATGCAAATACGATTGGTATCTTCAAGGGTTTTTATTAAGTATTTAGAGTTCTGTAAAACTGCAGTTACAAATGAGCTATGGTATTTAGTATTAGTCAAAATAGTGGTACTTGCATTAGCTCTCTAGTCTCTCTGATTCTCTCTGACTCTCTCCCTTTAAAGATATAATTATAATGAGATCGTGTATTAACCACATTATAATTCTTTCAAGTTTTATAGTTCTTCTTGGTTTGATGAAACAAGTCGAGTTTATCATAATGATACAAGATTGACATTTACTGTTCGTTCCAGCATTCTCTTCGTGTTCATGTTTGATGTTTTTTGATAAACTCACGGAACACGAGTGGCAATATTATCTCCCTCGATACAAAATAGCGAGAAAGTTAGGAAACATGAGTGTAAACTTGTTAGCGCCACTGTGATGAAGCACCGAACACAACAGACAATAAACCATTTGCCAGCTTTGCTTCGTTGATTTGGCACCACTGTGTGGATTCGATGACGACGACCACAACCACAAATAACTGATGTGCATTGTTCAGTTCGCGTGAGTTAGCGACTGGTTTTTTTTTCTGGTGGGGACTGGAGATCGGAGGTGACGTAAACTTTTTTTGAAACTTTACGCCACTGAGTTTCCCTACTTCGTATGCACTATGCAATATCTAAATTAGAAAACCTCAATTTAACAGCTATGAACGATTTACAAGACGCATTGCAGGTG